AAGAACATGCAGGTTCCTGTCCAAGATCAGACTAACGGTTCTGCTTACATGTGTTTTATCATAAATCCATACTTTTATTTTCTGTAGGTCTTTTTTTTTCCATTTCCACAGCCAGATATAGGTCCATCTTGCATTTATTTGCCTACATTCAATCATGACCTTTGCTAATTTTACATTTTTTGCTTATAGTAAATTTTTGATGAGCTCTCTTAGCCTAGTAAGTTTTATTTTTCTTCCAGATTTTGAACAGCTGAACAATAAACTTAAATCCATGTAACAAATGGGAAGAATTACCAGTATATTCACTAATTATCTTTCTAAGAATTCAGGTTCTTGGGTCGAGAGACAAAACGTCTTGTATTTTACTATTGTACCAAATGATACTTGGGTAGCAGAGAAGTGCTAAGCATCGTGGAAATAGAAATGTCAGCTACAGAATTTCTACTTTCACTAAGCTGAGAGGAGAAAGCAAAGGGAAAAAATGGGGAAATTTGATCCATAATGCAAAATTGGTAGAAGGTGTTTAAGAATAGACTAGTTTTAATAAATTCACTTTAGCTTTTCCCCGGAAAATGATGGCTAATGATCCTCAGAGCAGGGCAAAAGAGAGAATCTTGTGCAGCTTTGGCCTGTGAGTGTGACAGTGCAGCAGAAGGAACATTTGCCGTGGTGTGTTTCAACACGTGGTAAGTCTAGTGTCTCTCACTGTATAGATACTTGCATTAGTTCTCAAAATGGTTTGGTCTGTATCCAGATTGATGAGAACTGTGTAGAATAAGTTCAAGTCCAGTGACACAAATGTCTGGACCAGGTCCAGATTTTGGCTTAAGCAGCTCTGGTGCCAGGGGTGTTATTTGCTATGAGGTTGTGCACCTGGCGGGACGGTCAGACCAGTTTCCAGCTTTGGGAAGGTTTCCAGTACTTTCCATAAACAAGTAGCATGTCTGAATAGAACCTGTGAAGCCTTTTACATATTGTAGCAGTAGCCTTGGTATCTAATTAAAAGCAAACCAAAAAAAAAAAAACATATTGTAGGTCTTAAAAGTTGTTGGCTTTGACAGACCCAGAAAGGATGTCTCCATTTTGTTGTCCCGTTGCCACCTGTTAAACAGGAGCATTTTGGTTACCTGAATCTCACCCAAGAGACTGTCCTGGCAGGCTGCTGCTCTTCCCAAATGTTGTTGATCTTTGTCCATCCCCTATATTGGTTTTAGAGCTCTGGGGCTGTGCAAGGTTATTCCATCTGCTGGCTTTGTGACAGCTTTGTTGGTTTCCGTGGGATCCAGAGCTTTTTTTTTTTTTTTTTTTTTTTTTTTTTTTTTTTTTTTTTTTTTTTTTTTTTTGTTGTGAACAATTTTTATTCTGAAATACAACCAATCTAATATTTTGGAAGGCATTAATGCTGCAGGACCTGTTTTAGCTGAAATGTAGGCATCAGTAAAGTATGTTTTCCTTATTTATTTGGTAATATTTTTCAAAGGTAACCTGTTGGGGCTGGGAGCTTTCAAACGATCTTGCAGATGTCCCATAGCTATGGATGTGGTTGCTGCTTTTGTTGCTATGATTGCAGACAGCTGTAGTGTAGCTTGCTTGAAGAAAGAAGAAACAATACATCACATGCAACATGCATTACTGGACAGAGTGCACGATTGGGATTTTTTTTTCCCCCTTTTTATTGGTTTAACATAAAACTAACTGTTTTAAGATGGCAGTATTAATGTTTTTTTGCTCATACTTCATGACAAATTAATTACAATTGCAGTTTTGTTTACTCTGGCAGCAATTATTTGTTCTGCCTGCATGCTGAGCTGCTGATCAATGTTAAGGGATAACACAAGCTAAAAGAATACAGAAGTCATGGCATTTTTGACTACAGGCGAGAGCCTTATATTCTAGATATTCTTACAATGCAGTAGTAATTAGTAGAATTAAGGCACCACATTTTTTACTGCGATATGGCATTATTTGCTTTAGAAATTATTTTATTATAAGGTCTAATCAGTGATCTTGGACTTCAGTAATTGCTAGCAATAAGCTTTTTCATTTCTGATCATTCATGCAGTATAAGGAAGAGGTTTGCTCATTCTGCCCCGAGGCTGAGCCAGAAAAGACAGCAAAACCAATGTCATTCATTGGGTGAAGATAGTGAACAATTACCACCACTTGCTCACATTTTGCCTTGGATAGCCTGAGCTGGTAAGTCAAATTTACTTTTGAATGCATGTATTCTTTAATTATTAGTTCTAATATAAAAATGTTTTACATGCATACTTAAGTATGTGTGTAGTACTGAATGTTTTCTTGACTGTTGTGTGTGTTTTGCTAAAATCTGAAGTTAACACAGCTATGCTGTGTCCTTCCAGTGTGCCTGTCTGTACACTAGAGTGTTTATGTGCCACATAAAACAGACACTGATCTATAATTTAGATTTTTCCTTTCTCTGCAGTATGATTAAAAAGCAGTGCATGGATAGTAGATGAATATTACCAAAAAAAACCCAATAAAAAAAGAACCCTTGTATAAGGACAACTTATTTATATTCACTTGTATTTTAAATGGCCTTTTCAGCACACTGCCTTTGGGGAATGAAAAGGTTACTTTAGCCTTTAGAGGTACAAAAAATCTGATCACAAAGATTAAGCTCCACTGTGTGTAGCATGAACTAGCACTGGCTTCATCCGTGCTCTATCTAGCAGGGTGACAGCTCCAAGAATGAGACTGAGTTTTGGTGCTTATTTCCAGTGTGGTGCAGTGCCTGTTTCCCCAGAGGTTCAGCTCACTGCTCCTGGTACAAGGGTAGCTGCTACTCTTGCTCTGTACAGTTCCAGCTTTTAATGGCAAACTTTGTAAAATATTTGCTGACAAACTCTGAGAATACAAATTGATTGTACCATACACAACTCCTCTGAACCATACTGAGATCTTACTCATTTTATTTTGACCTGTGCCAGAGCCAGATACATAGAGAGCTTTTCAAGGTGCAGGTATCATTAGGGTTAATTTTGGACATCACCTGTGCCTAAACTATCTCAATAGTAACAGTCTTTAATATGTTGTTTTAATTTAAGTTGCTGCAGTGATGTGTCATGATTGTTAGCATATTTTAGGCTTCTGTACAGTGACAATGTACATTTTTCTATTTCACCTGCCTGGTGAAGTGAGGACATAGTTGCTTAAAAGAAAAAGAAGAGACTTAAAAAAGGAACCTGAAGCTGTTCTTGTGAAATGGTTTGCATCTGTAAAAATAAGCAAATGCCAGCATCCAATAAAAAGAATTATGTGATTTGACTTGTCTTTGTTTTCCTTATTATGTATTTTACTCATGATTTTACCTGATCTCATTTCCATTGCTCCTCTTGGGAGTCATTTCCACAGCTTAATAAGATCACACTTCCAGAAAGTTTTCCAGAATATGCAGCTTGCCTTTTCCTTTTTATTGTTATTTCTTAGCTTATATGTGACTAGAAAATATCTTCAATACAAGAATCTTCAGCAATGCTTTGCATTTTGTTTCAGTACAAAGGTAAAAAATATGGCTTATATTCATGAAATCAATCCAACTCTTGTTTTTCTGTTCTCTGTTAAATCGTGCAATATTCCATGGTTCTGATGGTTTGTATGAAGGATAAAATGTATTCAGCATTTTTCAAGTCATTTGTAATGTAATGATTCTGTGTTAACAGCAAAGATGCTATCGGTTTTGTCACAGATAGTTCCGTTTTTTGTAGTGCTTATTTAGCTTTTCTATAAGATTTCTATAAGATCTATAAGATTTACCTGCTCTTGACAGGAGAGGAGCTTTCATGAGTTTATATAGGATGTTGTGGTTTTTACACATTCATACTGATCTCAGGCATTTGCTTTGCCTTTATACTCCAAAAGCTGCCATGGATAGTATGCAGAATCTATTTTTACAGTCCTTAGAACTTATATGTAGATGGTTAATAACAATTCTTTTTCTCTTTGGATATCTAAGCCCTGTTTCCTTAACCTGGTGAGCGTGGTGAAGGCTGCAGCAAGCCCCAGGGACTGCAAAGCTGCAGTCAAGCTCAGGGTTAGAGGCAGCGCGTGGGAAGAGCAACCTCTGCCCTGCGCAGCGGCCCTTGCTGTCAAGTTGCTCCTTGGCTTTGCTGAGCTGGAGGCATCGTCCAAATGATACCTGACTTTATTTTGGTCCAGAGACCACCCCAACTTCCTGAAGTACTCCGGGCCTTCTGCTTACGGTGTACATAATAGAATCAACCTGCAAACTCTCTGCATTTTAAATGTATGTTAGGAGATGTGTGACTAAACTAATGCCTCTACCAAACCCTCCGATTTCTTGGAAGGCCGTCCAAAGACTTAGAAGTGCTTCTCTTTTACTTGCTCAGATTAAATTCCCCATATAAAAGAAAATGCTGCTGTCAAGGTATTCTCTGTAAAACTAAATAAAATGAATTCTTCTTGAAAACCATTTCTCCATCTGCTTCAGAATAGTTTAGTTTTTACTTTCCAGACACTCTGTGGAAGATATCTAGTCAAATGTCTTTAAGGAGAAGGATACAAATATGCTTTCAGGCTGCTGCAATACATGTGATAATTAGAAAGCAGGACTAACTGAATTGTTTCTGTTTGAGCCTCACTTCAGCTTTTGTCCATATGCTCAGAGAAATCCAAACGCATCCACAGGAGCAGCTCCCAAATCCCCGAACTGCCTTCCTATCACACCGCTCCTGTTTGGTGCCAGGAGGGAAGCAGCGGACACCGGGTTCTGCTCTTGTGTTTGTACACACCGTCGTGCAAATTTAACCAAGTCTTCTTGCCACACATTGCAGTTACCTTCATTCAGAGACTCTCCATCTCCCATGAGCTTGGGAAATGTGTGAGATGATTCGTAATGAGCTGCTTGTGTGCTCAGGACGTCGGCTTCCCTACCGCTGATGAGCGAGAAGGGAAGCTGTCGAGTAACAAAAGTCTGTTCAAAAGCTGTGTTGTTTTTCTTCTAGAGACACTAGGTGAAAATGACACAGCAAATGCATAACCTGAGTCTCCTCCACACGAAGAAGAGCAGTGGGCCATCTTCTCCCAATGCTGCCAAGCGCTTGTATCGGAACCTCTCGGAGAAGCTGAAGGGGAGTCACACATCCTTTGATGAGGCGTATTTCAGAGCCCGGTCAGACCGACTCAGTCTCCGTAAGACTTCAATGGTAATTACTTAATATTTCTCAAATTGATGGATTTTATTCATTTTTCTCTGGCTCCTTAATCTCAATGTGCAATAGAATGTTTGCTGGAGAAAGATGATCTTGCTGCCAATACTGTTGCAACAAACAAATCCACTATCTCTTTAATTAGGAAGAAAAGACATATCCTTCAACTTCTCTGAATTATTTTGAGGAAGACAGTTCCTCTGCACTTAGGAAGAGCAATGACTTATGACAGTGTCTGTGACTATGCCAGGAGACACCTCTTGAAACCATTACTGTGCTGCACTAAAGCAGATGTTCAGCACAGGGAAGGACTAAGCTGAACATGGTTGGGCCAGATGATGAAAATACTACAGTATGCCAGAAGCAGCAGCACGGTCTAGTTTTCTTTAGCACTAACAGATCCATGTGAGATATGAGACATTATGTACATAAATGCAGGAACTGAAACTAATTTTAAAATCAATTCAAAACGATGCTAACCGCCAGAGAGGATCACTCCTTTCATGAATTCAGGACCCAGGCATGGCCCATGGAAGTGATAAGCTGAAATACAGTGCTAATAAATGGGAAAGTCAAAAGGCTGCTGGCTGTCTCCTGTGAGGAAGCAGTGTGATCCAAGGGAAATACGGGATCATGGCTCCCTCCTTTAGCCTCTACCGGAGTTTGTTTTACTGAGGGAGAAGCCTGAAACTCCAGTTGGGATTGGAAGCTGGAGTCCAGGCTTTGTGTATCAGGTTGCAACTATTCTTTAGAGGTGGTGCATTTTCAGATGCTTCCAGTTTGGGGATCATTTGAATTTGGACTTTTATTTAGGTGTGAACTATGAAAAAGGATCCCTTGGGTCAGTTTCCTTCAGCTGCCATCTTTTCTTGCCCTTTTCCTTTCCACTGCAAGTTTGTGTGTCACTATGAAAGTGAGAAAAAGGAGGATAAGCCAGTCCTGGGGATGGTAGCAGAGCAGGCTAATGTGTAGAGTGACTGAATGCCACTGTTAATATCTCTCCTGACCAGTGTATTTCAGATACTCCTTCAAATCCTGGATCTCCTGCCCTGCTTTTCTGATAAGAAGCTGCAGATGATCCTACCCAAAGGCTGAGCAGCAAGTCCCTGCTCAGGAGGCTCCAGCCCTCTGCTGATTTCTCACTCTCCCTTCTCTGTCTCCAGCTCAGGTCTGCCAGAATCTTCTAAAGGTCTAGGAGCGCTCGTGACTGGTCTCATCAGCAGGCGTAAGGCAGGGACTCAGTTTGACGCTGTCATGACAGTTTTACGCTGGCAGTTTAATGAAATATGTAAAATATGCCTGTAAAATTAATTTCCTCTCCACCCGCTGCACAGTCAGGAGAGTGGTACAACTTTTGTTGCTCCTGGCCTACTGTGAGCGTCGGGATGGCCAAGGATTGCTAGCCTGGGGCCTGAGCCGCTGTCCCCAGTAGCCAGTGAAAAGATTCCCATTGAACTTAACAGGCTTTGGATCCCATTCCTTCCAATCTTCCAGTTGCCTGTTGTTTTCACAGTTTTCTGTAGAAATAAATACCACAGAAACAATCAGTGTAGGGGTAGAGATAGGATAGGTCAAGCTCCTAGTTGATCTATTTTGTGATCGTCGAGTTTCTGTGGTACTGAGCTAATTCTGTGACTAAAATCAAGTCTCCAGACAAGCGAACAACATTTGTTAAATTTGTTTTCTTTCAGCTTTGGCTAGTGAAGAGTTTTCTTTCCATTCTCTCTTGCTGTGCAACACTTTCCATTCAGTAAATTGTTGTCTTGCTGCAGACATAGCAATATCCCAAAATAGCTTTATTCTTGAACTCATGTTTATCAAAACAAGTCTTTGCAGAGACTATTTTAACATTTTTTCCAACTCCAGTAGCACATAGTAGACTTTTTCAGGCTAACCTAGAGCAAATATCTTGAAAGGGGTACTTCATTTTAATTAAGCTACATAAGATTGCATTTCTAAACACTCCAGCACTGAATCACTTACTGGAACATGCTTATTACTTACAGCAAAGCAATACTGTAGTCCTTTTCAGTATATACATTGGTGCACTAGTGTAACACCTAAATAAATTAATCACATAGCACAGCTGTCTAAAGCTAATGATTAGAGGCCGCAGGACTGAGTCAAGGAAAAAGAAAGGTAAAAATTGTCCCTAAACTGCCTGATGACCAGTTTCTGTTTGAATTCAGTGGTTTGTCTTTCATAGCAGAAGAAAATTATCCGGGAGGTGTAAATGAAGAGAGAAATCAGAAGGCTCTGGTTAGTATTTGTGACCATACCAGCTGGGCTAAGGCTGAACTTGGAGGTCTAGGAACATTATGTGGTCGTCTTTGCACAGTTTGAGTTTCATACCTCTGGGCTGGATATATCTGAATAACACTGAAAAATTAAAGACTCTTTTAAACAGCATGTGATAAGCTTTTTGAAAAAAAAAATGTAGTAATGATGTGGATTATAGAACATAAAATAGAACATTTTCTGGGCCTGGAAAGCTGCACTCAGTGCAGACTTCCAGTGCAAACTGGGGAAATTTAGTGGCGTGGTCGAAAATGTGGTAAATATTTTGCTGTCTCACCAGGATGTTGTTTGACTGAGTTCTATCTATTATGGTTTGATGCGCACTATTATGTGCATGAGGGATTACGTACATGCCTAGCTGAAAGGCCCTATCACAATTCCCATGTTTTTTTTGCTCTTTGAAGTCACTAGACATGCCAGCATATTTCAGACTATTGGTTGTGTCTGAATTGTTCATTTGGAAAACCTGATATTTGCAATTTGGTCTCAGCACTGTTTGGATTGGATGAAGTAAGTTATAAACTTCATGCTCTGTCTCTTGTTTAAATGAGTGCAGCTTTTTCAATCAGATTTCTAATGAAATCAAGAAATAGAAATTTGCTTTTATTTTTGCATTTTTGGTGAAACATTCCTGCCAATAGATTTGCTGGCAAGGACATTTATGAGGAACTAACTTAAGCATGTGCTTAGATTCTGTTCAGCAAATTATCAAGGGCCAAAATTTCAGAAATACTTTAGATATTTAGTTTGGCAAATAAAAATCCAAAGATGCATTTTCAAAGGCATCTAGGCAGGCCTAAATCTTGAAAATTGAATCCAACAATAACAATTCAGACAAAGTTTTGACAAGAATTTTACAACAGTCATTCAGGTGGGTAAAATCTATTGTTAACATCTATGTGTATACTAGAAAAGTGCCAGATGCCTTTGTCAGCCCTATAACTGAGTTATTTTCAGCTGTAATACTGATTCTGCAGTATTTGACCCTTCTTTCTTAATTACATTCAAGAGTTTGTTTTTGTTTTTATAGAATGCAAGAAACTGCAGGGATGCAGTATAAAATTAGAGCTTCATTCAGATTTTGAATTAAAATTCTTTGGTTTGAATTAAAACCAACACAAATCCAGCACTTCAGTAGCACTCTACAAATACTAATGCGTTTAAGCCTTATGGACACACCATGAAGCCTGTTGAAAGCAAATGATTATTCTGATTTCAGAAAGGGAAAAACTGCCCATGTAGCCAGTGCCACAGAAGGAGAGGAAATTCAAACCAAGATACCTGGTTTTCTGGCTTGAGCCTGTGCCACGGACTTGTCACTGATGAATGTCACCAGCTCCAGCATTTTGTTCTGCACTCCCACTGGTAGCCAGGGTTTCCCCAAATGAACTTAACTAATAAAAATGGAAACTAATGTAGTCATTCAGTTAACTGCAGTTGATACCCTTTGTAATAGGCTCTTTATGAATTTATTGTTAAATAGATGTTACTAGCTGTGGTCAGTTACGAGCATAATATGATTTTGCTCCTTTTCTGAGTCAATAAATGTGCAGGTGCTTCTGAATTATAAATGGCCTTTATTTCAAAAAGGACCGTATAGTGGAAGATTCAAAAATGATACTGAGAAATTTTGGAATGGACATAAATTGGGGTGAACTTGATACTTTTTAGATGATATTTTGGTATCGGAACTATTTTGGGAGATGTAATGAATATTTGAGAACATAATGCAGTGGTGTGAACCTGTTCAATATTTTATAATTAAAATTAATTAAACAATCGTTTCCAGACTCTTCATCACTTAAGGGTTAGGGAAGAATCCCCAGAATGAAAGAAATCTTTGATTTAAGGGTAAGGTGTTATGTAAGCAAAGCAGCAGTGGAGCTACTGGGATGAAAGGAAATACTGGTGCATTGCAGTAAAATGTTCTGTTGTTTTAAGCTTTACCTTGAATTAGAGAAATGAGCGACCACCTCTTTTCTAATACAAACTGTAAATGTGCCATCTCTAATAACACTATCTGTTCTTAAAGAAAATCTTTTGCCGTAAAGAAAATCTTTTGCCTAGGGAATGGCTAGAGAATGATAAATGTAGCTGGTTACCCATCAGCTTTCTCTTATTAAAGATTTCTTGCGCTTAACACTGACTTACGGCCTAAGTATTTGATAGTGAAATGATATCTTGATCTCACAGGCCAAAGGGGAATTTGATAGAGACCTGTTGTCATGGGACACTTGTTTAAATGATTTTTTATTTTGCATAGCAAACTACAGAAAAAAAATTAACTTCCTCCGAGGGAGATACCTTCCCTGGCTTAGGCATCTAAGTAGGTCTCTGGGTGCTGGCGGTGTCAGACCCCTTTGCCTTGGAGCGCCCGTGGAGAGGCCCCTGCAGAGCGGGTGCTGGTTCCGGCTGTAGCTCTGCGCTCTGGGCTCATGGGCTGCTGCTGGAGTTTGCACAAGTGCTTGCAAATAGTTGTTCTCTGTGTTTTTAAAGGTGATAAAAGACCTGGATCAGGCAGATCAGTGCTCAGCCTGCAAGTATTATTTCACTGAGCAAAAACTGAGCTAGAGGCTGCCAGATAAAGTTGTAGCCCTTTAAAAAGGGAGGATGAAGTGTTTTGATGTGTTTTAAATATTCACTTCTGATCACAGTAGAAGAGAATATTTGAGGGTTTATTTCGTATCATAAGCGACATTTTATGAAAATTGCCTCTGTTCCTTGCACTGTGAGCTCCAGGGCAGAGGAAGGTAGTTTCCATCATGCATCTGTATCCCTTGCTCTCCTGTGAATGCTTTCCTTCGGTTTGCCCGTTGGCACAATGTGTCTACATAGATCTCTGCTCTGTTTTGTGGCCACACGCTGAGCTCTCCTTGCTCTGCTCAGCCTCCTGCTTCTACTAATTCACTCTTAAAAGAAACAAAAAACCTATTGGGTAATGACAGCAATGGGGCACTGGGAGAGAATTTAAAGGAACTTGGCAAGTGATGTCTCATTCCTGCAGGCTCCAGAAGGATGTTTTCATAGCAGGGACCTGCAGGCCATGCTAGCATCCTGCACCTGCTTCTCCACAGCTCACTTAAGAAATGATGGGTTCTTCAGTTCTTCATTTATCTCCTTGCCACTGGCAGGGAAAAGGCCCTCGGTGGTTCTTCCTGCTCGAGAGCCAGTGCAGTTTGTGTTCTCAGCTCTTGTTTATCTTCTTTGGTGTTCAGGTGGATCTTTCCTGAATACAGAAGAGTGGACAGGCAGTTTATTCAGTCTCATTTCTACTTCTTAAATTAAGGGCTATGGAATCTCTAGCTGATGCGGGAGCTGTAAATGTTTTTCTCTGGAATGACTTCCTTGAGTTATGTTTTGATCACCTGAGTTTGTGTACCCCAGATTTTTACTTTGGAGTTTGAGGTCTGAAAAACTCAATTTTCCAAACCACTGCCAAAATCAGTCTTTATCATAGAGTTTCACACGGAATACACAATATCATTCATATAATTTGAGTTCAGGGTACATGTCTAGATAAGTGTGGGTTTGTTTTGGATGATTTTGAATCTCATGTCAGTCCTCCCACAGACCTGAGCTAAGTTCAAACATACAAGACTGGAAGCAGAGCAAGCTGGAAGCTGGAGCTGAACGATCAATGTTTTACAGCAATCTCAAAAAATACAGTTCTTTTTCCATTTATTTTAAAAGACGTGTGAAAAGTGGTACTGAATTTCTGTTTTTTTTACCATACAGAATTTCCAGTGCAACGAAGCTATGTTCGAGGCCGTGGAACAGCAAGATCTGGATGCTGTTCAGATCCTTCTCTATCAGTACACAGCAGAGGAGCTGGACCTAAACACACCAAACAGCGAGGGACTAACTCCTCTGGATATTGCCATTCTGACAAACAATGTGCCCATTGCTAGGACTCTTCTACAGGTTGGAGCGAAAGAAAGCCCACACTGTAAGTAAGAACACAAATTAAATTGGCTTAGATAATTGCCAGGAGGACAATTTAGGTTTATTGTTGCCAAAAACTATGTTATGCACAAAGTTTGACTGGTTTTATCATTAAGAGATTGTACCAACACTAGCATCACAGCACTGTAGGGTATTGCTGTCTGCTTGTTGGATGTGTGCTTAGCAGATACGTTTTGTTCCCTAAGTCAGGCATGCGAACTGATGAATCAGGTTGAGCTTCTGACCTCATTAACATTAGGGGAGTTGAGGTCGTCTTTTCTGAGAAGAAATACGTAAACAGAACCTGAGCAAGTAATCCAAAGACCGCAGGCTGAAATACGGAGCTTGTCATCAAAAATGGAAGTATAATGGATTATCTTGACTGTGATTGTCCTTTCAGTCTTGGCGTTGGTGCCTCCAAGAAAGGGATGGTGTTGAAATCTATCATTGCCATTACCTCAGATTGTGGCTCATAACTCTTCAGTCCTAGTCTTGCTACCATCCAAAATCCCACTCACATGAGAGTTTCAAAATCATATAGAACCAGTGAAAACGTACACATGAGATAGGCCTTCTCACTTACCCAGTATTGCTTATAACCAGTTATTGTAGTTATAAAACTATCCTTTGTATTCCTTCATGGGCCTTTTTATGCACAATTTGTGGGTTGGACGGTGACTTACCAACCCAATTAATCAACTGTAAACTATGACACACACTCTGACGCCTTACATGGGTCTAAAAATACCCCAATGTATGCGAATTTGTTTTAAGCTGTCAATGCCTATATTTAGGACATTCCCAGCAAGGCCATAATGAGACCGTGTTTGAGGGGTTCGGCCACTGCAGACTCTGCCATTAATTTCAAGTTAGTTAAATTAACAACATTTAGTGCTGGCATGTCAATCTCAGTGCTCCAGGAAATTGCACCTTGAGGCTACTAACATTGCCAGTTTTTTCACTGCAGAGTGTATGTGCATGTGTGTGTGTGGAGGTTTTTTGCCAGACCCTCAGTGTTGGTACACCTTTATTGCTTTTCTATGTCCACAGCACTTATATTATCATTTATTCTGGCCTCCTTTAACCTTCCCAGGAGATTTTTGCATAGTGTAGCTGCTCAGTGAAAAGAGTTTTTTAGCTTTATATTTATTTGTTTATTTTTCTGTCATGGTTCATGACTGAGGCTTTAAAAAAAAGTGTGACAGCATTTAGAGTACATGATTGACTGCTGAAGCAACATTCATTAACCATGACAAATCTCGAGGAAAACACAGTCTTGAGTGTTCTAAACAGCAGTAAAAAAGACTAAACTAATTTTTCATTGACCTCATCTGTAAATAAATGGAGTCTGATGGCGAGCAGGGGCAATCATAAATTAGTATTCATTTCCTGTAATTAATGCAAACATGCCTATGAACACAGAGAATATGAATATATAACCACCTCATTTCCATTTCAAAATATACCCACCAAATTTCCACTTCACTTATCTTGATTTGCTGATTGAAATAATGGATCAAGCTTTCTCAATAAAAGCAAATGATTGTTTTTTTTCCTTAAGGAGTTAAGGTTGCTGCTTGAAAGCAAAATGCAAAGAAAGATTTTAAGCCCTTTTTTTAAGCCTCTTTTCTCTAGTCTTTCTGCTTTGCCTCCTCTGCTTAAGCAACTCTCTTAGATTGCAATCCATTCTGTTTATGTGGTCTCAGGGCTGTAAGAGCATGATCCAGCACCCAGCAGGAGCGTTTTCATTTGTCTATGGTGGGTAATTGGGCAAAACCTACCCGAGCTGTGTGGGAAGGGGATGGTTTTCAAGGGAAATTTCCGAGTCACCTTGAATTGAAGACAGGACACAAGCATCACTGAATCTGGTTGTGACTGTATAGGACACATGCCCAGATCTGGGAGTTTGCAAGGTGAAGGCCCTTTCCAAGTCTACACAGGAGTCTTCCTACAGGGAAGGCTCTTGCTCTTCTACTGTCTTAACGATAAGAATCCAGCTGGAATCTCAGTGTAGCTGCTAACATAACGCCATAGAAAAGAAGAGCCTGAGGATAGATAGCTTCCAGCTGTATCACCTGGACTGCTGCCTGGAATAGACAGAACAGAGGATAAAACCATAGAAAATAAAACTGATCTTCATTTCCACATGGAGCTCAGACTGAATAAATCTTCCCAGGAACCTAGCATCTCTTAAACACAAAGTAAGCAGGATCAGAAGTGCAGCGTTGAGAGTATTAACTTAGTGGGGAGGAGGCAGAACTTTCCCTGTTGTCAAAGTGCACTGTGTTACCATCTTTTCAGTTACTGTTATTCATCACATGTTCTTGGCTTGGCTTGTTCATGCAAACCCAAATAAAAATAAGATTAAAATTTCCAGTGGCTGATTTGACATGTTTCCAAGACCTGACAAATGTGCATCTTGATTAAAGCGATACGGCCAGATCCTCAGTGGGAACTTGAATTGATGCCAGCTCACAATCACCTGAAGTTCTGGCCCATAAAATCCCCTCTCTCCGTCCTGGTGTGCTCTCAGATGTGTTGCATGCTTATTGTAGGCCTGGATCCAGGAATCCCTGTCACCTTTGGCCTCCCAGTAAACAGCCGGTACTGAGGATACCAAGAGATTCCAGGAAGCCTGCCCCATATGTCTCTGATGTCCATATGAAGAATGATCAGACTTCAAGGAGGATGGCAGCAAGCCAGCTTCTGAAAGCAAAATCTTAAAGATAAACCTTAAAAAAAAACCCTTTGGATGTCAGAGGTGTCAAGTAATTCTTCGCTCTCCGCCTGTGGTTTTTAAAGATCCAATAGCACTTTTCACAGTGGGCTGCAAAGTTAGCCCAGGACTCTGTGAAACCGATTGTGATGGAATGATGAGAGAGAATGGGCATAAATTTAAAAAATAATAATACAAAGAAGCTGGATAACTCTGTTGCCTAAATAAAGGAACAGCCTGTCCACAATGGCTGCAAAGAAGCTTTTCTGGGAGGTTTTAAAGACCAGACTGGATCAAGCTCTGAGTAACCTGGTCTGACATAAGAGCTGACCCTGTTTTCCACGGGAGATTGGACTAGAGAAGGTCCATGATGAATTGTCCTCTAATCCTATGATTCCTGGTTAGGAATAACATGCCTGGCAGACATCTTCTATCCTGCATGTGTTTTGATGTCAGAAACCTGATGTTTTGATGTCTTGGTCTCATATACGGCAGTTAGATCATTTCGTAAAGATCTACACCTTTCTTGTACAAGTAAATGACCGGTGCAGCTTGTGCAAGGTTCGTGCTGCTCCCAGAAATCCTTCGAGAAAGCAGGGCCTGGCTGCCCCTGTGCAACAAGTGCCCGTTGCTGCTAAGAGCCACAGCTTGTGGCAGTGAAGCCTTTTGGATAAATAGGGGCCTTTTAAATCAGGAGTATGCGAGAGCTCTTCTGCAAAATTACCCGACACCAGATAAAACTTATTTTCTGTGATTTCATGACCCCTTCTCTTGTAGGCTGTTTCCTGCCTATTGAACATCAAATCAGTTGTTTCATTCCTTCTCATGTTAAACAGCTTTATAAGTTATATTTTTTGCTTTATAAGTGATATTTTTTAACCTGTACGTAGTTTTAACCTGTACATACTTACTTGCCTGCACAGGGGCTAATCTGTGGAACTCCTGTGCACTTGGGCAGACATCAAAGCCTATTTTGGTTCGTAACCTGTATTATTGTCATTTTCGTCTTTATGTAGCACTTAGCAGTTTGTAAGTTTGCTGGAGGGGCTGCTCAATGAACAGAACATAGAAATTGTTCTGTGCACTGGAGAAAAACAGAGCCTCTACGTGTCAAATTGTGTCAAATTGTTCAGTACTTGTCAAGACTGCTGGAGGACTGAATAGATACGTGCATGGGGGATCTTCTGCAGGCCAGCCAGGGCTCTTAAGCACAGCACTCATTCTTCGATCTGCCAGATAGATCTCTCCTCACTTAGAGATTGATATATTTATTGTATATGTTTATCTATAACCAATATTGGCCTCTTTTGTTCCATAGAACCTTATGATGTTATGGCTAAGCAGAGGCTGGAGAGAAACCAAAATGTTTAATAGTTTTAGTTCCTTTTTTTTTTCTTTTTAATTTTCTACCAATTTAAAATGATCTCCTTCAGACTACTTAAGATATTCTAAAACATTTGAGAAACACTGGGAAGTCAAATTGGCTCGATTTATACAAGTGGACATATCCTGAAGTGGCATAAATTGTCATGGCTGTAATCCACTTGACTAAAGGACATCTACTGTAAGGCAGTGTTGGAAGGATTTGACCTTATCTGGGTTATATTGAGATACCTGAGGCCACAAGTCTGTTGCCTAAGCCCATCAAGTGATTATTTGTTTTTCTCTTTGCTTGGAAGTTGTTAACATGGAAAGCAGGTCAGCGCATCTGAGCACCCTGGTCCAGGAAGCCCAGCAGCGAGTCACTGAGTTGTCTGCCCAAGTGATGAATGAAGGCCTGGGGATGGACAGCACCGAAAAGGAGAAGCAGCTCAAAGCATGGGAATGGAGATACAGGCTCTACAAGCGCATGAGGGCGGGCTACGAGCACGCTAGTAAGTACAAGAAAGTAATTAGGAAGTTTAAGACAAGAATTCTGTGCTGCTGAGAATACTCTGCCGTGGTCAAAAAGGGCTGTCCTGATACTCGTGGTACTGCTGTGAAGCAGACAAGTGTTAAGGTCGGAAAACTGAGAAATAGAACTAAATGGCATCACCCATAATGAAAAGAGAATTGATGTAAGGCCAGAAAGGTGAGAGCAGCAAGCACACAGTTGCTTTAGGAGCAGGTGCTTAGAATTGATAAGAAGAAGCCTACGCACTTTTGGTTGAAGATCTAGTTATTCTGTCCTGCTTCTTTCTCTCCACATTTATTTCTAGATTTCATTTAGTGTGACCAGACTTCAAAATATGAATATTAGGAATATGTGACCAGAGAAGAAGAGAGACAGAACATTCGCGTTTTTCCTGTTGCAATTTAAAAAAAAATCTGTTCTAGGAGAATGGAATTTTAAATATTTGATCAAACAATGGAATTAAATGTGAAAATGCAGTCTTATTTTTGGCGTCTGCATATGAGAGCTGTCACAGATCAGATCACTTTAAACAGTTTTACAAGTGAGTCTGTATCCAAAGTAAAAGTTATTTTGGACCCATGGCAAGGACTGAACAAGCAAGGCTGAACTGTGTCACATTTAGATCTTCAGACTTATCCCATTCAAGGAAGTGTATGCATTACCATTAACGTTTTTATAGCCACCATTAGATAAAAGTACTTACAAACAATTTTTGCAAGGTTATTCTATACTAAAATTGTGTTTTTTTCAGGGCAAATATGGTGCTTCTTGTGCTAGATATTAAATATAGCAAATACAGCAGTATTGTAAGTTATTATAATGAAAAAATTGTTATTCACATCAGCATTAAGTCGTGACTTTTTGTGTTTGATTTCTGAATTGAGTCTGATTGATAGTCTGTGAATTCAGCTTTGTTTTAGAAGACATTAAGCCTCAACTGACAAATGTCTTTTGGAACTACTACACAGAAACATTTGTGAAATATGCAGTTTCTGACTCGCAATAATGTAAAAATGGTTTCTGTCATTCGGTATATTTGAGTTTGTTAGTGAAACCATAAAGGTTTAATTAGCTCTTTGTGGTTTTGTCCTTTCTCTCCCCTCTTACCCACCCCAAGAGATTTATAGGGGCTTTTCATTGACATAATTAGCATGAATCTGTTTTATTGGGTTACATATATGCAGGAAGATATTTTTAACCAAAAGGAGCCAAAAACCATGATAGAAACAAATGGTGTCTGCAGGATATTGTTAGCAGGGGCACTAATTAAAATGCTCAAAAGGCAGAGAACACAAACACCTACAACCCAAAGCTCACAATTGCAGGGTGATTTTCAGTGGGTTCTTTGAAGACACAGAAACATTGTTTGAATAGGATTTGTTGTGCTGAAGAGCTGATGTTTTCTCTTCTCTCCCAGGAGCCCCCGAGGCGCCAACCAATGTCTGTCTCATGGTAACAAGCAGTACATCACTCACTGTCACCTTCCAGGAACCTCTGAGTGTCAACTCAGCTGTGGTGACCAAATATAAAGGTACTCCTTTTAGACATCTTTCGTTTATCTTAGCAATGTACAAAAATTTGAGAGCTAAGTGACAAAGATATTTGTCTGCAAGAGAGCATTTTGCAGGGTACATATTTGGATTTAATTATTAGCCCCGTCCATAGCAGAGAATTTTTCCCACAAAGAAAGAAAGAAATTTTCGAAAAAGAAAGATAAGTTAACCAAAAGCTTTCTCCTTGAGTGTTTTGAAGAAATGTGCTTGACTCGCTGTGGTTAGGACATCAGCTCAGTGACTGAGTTGAGATGAGCCAGCTATAAAACACAAGCTAACTTTTGGTGCCTGTGGGCTTCTGAAACCATGTGTATGTTTGTAAATGCCAAACCCACACCACCATTTCTTAAAGGAATGCCTCTGGAAGCTGAAACTTCTGGCAGCAGCATCATACAGCCCCACTAATTAGCTATTCCAGGGCTGCCACATCATTCCTGGAAGAGCAATACATTTGGGGTGGCACCAGTTAGTTGCAAAGTGGAATGAATAGGAAAATGCTTCCATCTGAATAGCTCTGTTGAATAGAAATGGTTTCAAAACAGAATTTGTGTTCCACAGGAAATTCCAACTTAAAAAAAAAGAAGTTTTATTGCAGGTTAGAACAAAAATGAGAAATTTTAAAATTTCCTGTTTAAAGGAACTTCCAGGTTTTCTAAAATGTTTGGAACAGTAAGTTCTTCCAAGCTAAGTGCAGCAATCAGCAGCCTCCATCTTCCAGTGGGACCCAGGGATATGTGTCAGGATACTCCTTCCACATGGAAGCACTGTTCAAGAGCAGGGCCTTTGCCTGCCACGGGGGACACAAAGGATGGGGACCTCAATGTCCCCCTAGTTGATTCCCTACTGCTTCTATCTCAACCTTCCTGTTATCTGCTCTGGCTTGCATTAATAATTAAAAATTTATCAGAGAGGTGTTTGAACCGTGGATTGTCATGTCAGTAGCAAGGACTGTAGCCCAGTGAGTGCTGCAGCAGGAGCACGTGCAGAGAGCCCCAGTCCAGGAGCACCCCGTAGCTCATAGGACCCCTGTGAGGGTGGGAAATGCAGGGTGCAAGTGTGCAACTAGCATGTCCACTAACATTGCACCCAAATCTGCCCACGTTTGCTCTGAAATGGGCAGATTCTCTTTCTCTCCAGCCCCTGCTTTCTATCACGGCTGGATTTGGCTGCCACAAACCCTTTTTAGAGTGCTAAAGAAAAAGCGCAACCTCCCAGACAGCAGCCAGGCCCGCAGAGTGATTCTGTTGTTTATAACCTCGGTAGAAAGGTAAATTACTCTATTATACCTAGTCAGCTGTGGAGTGCTGCAGGAAGTGAGATGCTGAAAAGCATCAAAGCCCTTTAGAAGCCTAAATCTAATTTTCAACAATGGGTTGGGTTGCTGAGAAACTCGATTTCATTTAAGGACTTCCTACTGCTTGATTTACTTGTGCAAATGATACTTGGGTTCCTAAAACACTTAAGTTCTTTTGAAAATAGTAGCCTGCTCTTTGTAATAAGCAGATTTTTACAACCCTGCTACAGTGTCCCCAATATATAATGTACATCGAAGCTTTCACAGTAAAGCAAATCCCCAATACAATGGCAAGATCCTTTCTAAAGGTTATGCTTTCCTCCTCTTGCATATACATTTGGTTTGAAACTGTTTTGTGCCGTGCCAGCTCTGTCCTCTTTTTAGTTAGTAAAACATTAAGAGGAGTTTAATCCACCGTGACTTAACTTTCCAGTCAGAGGAGGTAGTGGTGTCGTCACATTTTGAATTACCCTCACTAGTGATCATTTAATGCTTTATCAAGTTGACAGTTAGTCCTGCCAGAATATTCTTTTAAAATCCTCTGTCCCAGGAGACCTGCATATTTATGGTTGGATAAAAAGAAAGATCATTAATAGCTCCTTTTGGTGACTTTCGGGAATTAATTAAGCACTGGTTGTAGAATTGTTTATTACGTTATGGAGTGAGATTCTTTGTGCTAGTTTCAGGGGTCATAAAATGAACCTTTCAAATGATCACTTGCAAGAATGATTAGAACCAGCTAGCAATTACTAGCCATGAAAGAGCTTGATAGCAGTGTCTGAGGATCTTTTTAATCTGATATGTAAACCCCAGTCTAGAGAACCATCTAAATATTTTGCTAATTCAGGGCCAAAATAAGCTGTTAGGATTTTTATCCTCAGTTCTCATTTTTTTTAATGAAGAAAATTCAGGAGCACTTGCAGCAGTGTTTAGGGAATACCTGCTCATTAACAAATGCTAATAACGTTCTTTCTCTTGACTTGAATTTTAGAGGATAAAAGCGGACAACATTTTTGATCAGTTGAGTTCAGTTCCTTAAAAACACTGAGAAACTGCCAATTCCTTTATTCTGTGTCATCTCTTTTTTCCCCGCTGTTTTTCCAAAATTTTATTTGCCCAAACATCATTTCAAACCTGGACTGGGAACATTATCTGACTGTTTGCTATTTTCTCGTGTGCGATCCTTTCCCTTGTTAGCCGTATAACTTACAAATAATAGCGGAGGAGAATAATACTTAGCACTCACTCTCTAACCACTAAAACCCTCTCACTTCATTAGGAGATTTAATTTTAACCACACACGCTGCACGGGTATTGACTTTGGTGTCCCAGCTGGATGGCAGCTCAGTGGCTGCATTCTGGTGAGCCGGTGCGTACGGAGGCAGCGTGTTCTTTGCTTCCTCTCCTGGCTTCTTGGTTAATGTTGCAGGCACCATCCTAATGGCTCCCTCCAGTTTCCCTACAGAGCCGGCTACAGTGCGGTGGTGGCTGCAGTGAAAACTATTCCTAGGCATATTGTAACTCAGGAAAGTGTTTTGAGGTTGGAAGCCTAAGTCAGACATAAATCAATAATAACTGTAATAATCTTTTCTGCGCTAGAGAGAAATTTAAAGCCAGAGACTCTACTCCAGCCAGTTTTAGGAAGGATGTGAAGCAATGCTGTAGTACTGAGAAGAAAAGCCTCTGTCCTTGGCTAATCATGCCCTGAAGTCAAACCATACATCCAACGTGGAAATACTTAAGACCTGCCTTGGTTTTATATCTTTGAAAACACAACCAAAACGTTCTACACCAATATACAAAATGCCACAGTCTGAAACTAAGGCAAACCTTGTTGTACAACATTTTGTACATGCTATCACATGGTTACTATATTAATGTATTTTTCCTCCAGAATTACACTACCTTGGTGCAAAAGATCCCATCGGCATTGCAATGCAGATGGGCACCACCTCTCTTTCAGGAGGAGTCCCGTTGGAGCTTCTCGTGCAAGGCACTCGTGTGGCCTTTGGGAATTGTCATCTCTCACCAGTTAGCTCTTCTGATGGGGTTCCCATGTAAATACAGGTGTAGGTACCTACATTTGTCCAGGAGAGCTGGTGCAATTTGGTGTTCTCACTAGAAGTCTCCACCAAAGGAGCAGTCCTTGGTGTACTGAGCTGCTTTTTTGTTAAAAGTAGGATCCAAGATCACAGGATGAGTCAGTTTGCCAAGGTGGCCTATATAATATATGTGTTCTAGCTCTAGAAATTCATTGTCCGAGTTTACCAACTGACATCTCATGGCATCAGTGAATATCTTCCATTGAAAATTTCTGTGCAAAAAGCCTCAAGAATTTTATAAAAACGATCTAGGAATTTGGTGTAACTCTGCATGTTTTACTCCCATGAATAATCCTTCCACAACCAGATAATCTCACAAACCTGCATGGGCCTCTGCTTGTCCCTGTGTGCCTGTACACACTCCCACTGTTGTACAAATTTTGTAGCTGTGTGTTTGGTTGTTTACCCATAGTAAACGACTGTGTTTGGCTGGGTTTGGATTCTGTGGAGGCCTCCCGCAGCCCTCCCTGCAGTGCTGCCCAGGCAGGAGCAGCACTGTGTGGGTTTGGCTGCACAGCTTTGGCTAGACCATCAGCTGGAGTTTGCACAAAGGACATCCTTGTGCATGTGGGCTTCTTATCTGCAAGTAAAAATGTATGTGTGTGTGCGTGTGTCTAAAATAGGAGACATCTCTACTGCATTTTTATTTCTGCTTTCTTGGTGCCTGGTCACACTGCAGTGTCACTCAGAGTAGAAAATGTTTCAGTGTCTGATTTCTGGGAGAACCTGGATTCCTGGTTATAGAATTGAGTGCTTGTGGAAGCGAATCTTATGGATGCAACTGCGCTGCTTTTACATTAATATCTATACATCCTTATACAGTAGATACTCTGTCACAGCCTGATCCTCTTACAGTTTGTAGGGGCTTTAGGTAGAATTCTGCATTCAACTTGATCTTGAAACCTTCTTCATTTATTAGTCAAAGTTCCTATGTATGTTTCAAAACTCATTCTTTCCTCAAATCAGTTCTTTACTCCATAAAAATGAAAGAAAATACATTTCTTTGTGAGATGTTTGAATTTATCCTGCTGAATAGGTGTGGTCTGATATTTTTTACAGTAGTTCATTTATGGCATTTTATTAGGTCTCCCGGGCACTTTATTTGCACATTACATTTTGCTAGCTAACAAGACTGTGCCATTTGACTTCTATTTTTATGCAGAGCAAGAACAGAAATGTTTAAAAGTTAAAACAAACCTTTCTGTTTCTAAACTCCTTTCAATGTCTGTAGTATGCATTAGAACTTAAAAAACAGAAGTTCTTAAATTTTCTGTTAAGTCTGCTATGTATTTAAAGACACCTTTGAGCTTGGATTACATATTAAGTGAGGGCGTAATTAAGTAATGTAGTTGATCAGACACACATTATTCAATTCAATCATTCTTTCCTCTCGCTTTGTGTTTTATAAGAATTTTGAACAGCAGCTCAAGATGAATGGCTATGAGAAAACCCAGACGTCTAGGGTCTGGTTTTATCTGTCTTTGGTGTATCTAAGAAAAAGGTTTGTGTCACAACGTGGCTTAATTTTAAACATTGCTTTACCTTTTACATTTACTCCAACTCAACAGCATTAATAAGCCTT